GAGAGCTTGTTCGAACTCCTTCCGATTTCTCGAGAGATGTTCGTCGTTTGCGAATCGACTAAAACATAATATGCTGCGAGTTTAATGACACGTTGCTGTTAGTACGTGCATGTGAAGTTAATACGAGCTGGAGGGAATGCGATCTGTTTTAAAATGCGTAATGGGTGCTAGACAATATTTGATGTTGTTTGTGCTACATTGTTCTTAAAACATTTCAAAGTCATTAATGATTAATTCAAAATTTGCCTACAGGGCCAATAATATAATTTTAAAATAGAGAAATTAAATCGTATGAATGAAATAAGTCATATGAATTCAATGTAAACGTTGAGTGAAGTAACGGGACGTACATAAACGCAACATTGGAGATAAAACGTTGCAACTGATTTGAATTATTGAATTCCTGAGACAAAATTATAAAAAAGTTTTTAATTTGGATCTCAAATTCGAAAGAGTTCGATTAGAAAGATGCCTGAGTCAGCTTAATTCTATGCGTTTTTAAAGCAATTGTTTTGTAGAAATTTTGACACCACTCTTGTGTCATTTTTTGATGTTCTAACCGAAGTTAATTTGTTCTAACCTTTTATTACAAACTAGTGTATACATTGTAAATATTTTTTGCACTAACCAGAGTTAATCTCGCGTTAACCATCTGTGAAAGTATTGTTTTGAACGGACACAAATTGTTGAGTGTCATATCTTATGTTTTATGTGCCAGTTCAATGTATTCTAGTCTATTGTAACACCCAGAAAACTTTGAATACTGTTTACTAACATACTTGTCACTTGTTTATATTCTTATCATTGTGGTGTACTAATCGGATCGAAGTTTGTGTTAACCTTCTAGTGCAATGTGTTGTTTCCAATTGTAGAAACTTGATGAAGTATCTTATTTTCACGTGCCAATTGAATGTATTCTAACGAAATGTAACCTCCAGGAATTTTGGACACTATATACTAACATACATGTCAGTTACTCTATTAATGATTGTTTACCAATTGTTAACAATATTTGATGACAATTAGGCTGGAAACTACTATGGATCATGAAATATTTATTGTAACTATATTTGCAAGAACAATATTTTAGTTATAGAATGCTGCATTTCAAACTAAATACTCTATTTAAGAAAAAAATTGTAAACTAATAGACATAATAATTAGACAAAACAAGAATACTAAATTTATGAACATGTTATTTTACAAGATATTTAGAAAACAGTAAATATTCATACATGTGTGTAATATATGTGAAGAATAGATAAGACATGTGCAGCCTAATGACTAAATTGCGTATTTTAATAATCATTGAGTTGACCGAGACTTAGGTAAGGTGATAAAATTAGTTCATTTTAGCATTTTGTTAAACATTTCAGAAGGCAGTCGCTATTTTACTAATATTTAGCTTCATTTAATGTTAATTCTCATTTAATTTTTTTATGTAAAAAAGAACAATAGTTCTAGACGGGTTGAACTATTTGGTATTATTTAAAAAACAAAACAAATGAGTCCTCAGACTCACCATTTAAAAGTAAACGATAGTAAGTTTGAAGTTTTTGTTTACTATAAAAGGAAATGTGACACGTTTATTTTTTTCTTCTTTGCCAGTCTGGCATTATTGTATTACAACCTAGGTGCCATTAAATTCCATATTCCCAGATACTAACTTTATCAGCGTGGGTACCAGAATGACTATCCGCTACTGCATAAAAGAGTTATATGAATGTTGAATGCGTTGTAAAATCATTGTATGGCAAACGTAAAACGAAAAAAGTAACTTTTCTGAATCATAAACATCACCATTAATACAGCAAAATCATACTATTTTCGATTATTTTTAATGACAATAGCTTTTCAGATTGACCGAATGTACGTCGTTGGTTGTATAAAAATATAATACACGGCTTTCGACGGAAAACGAGAAACTCGCGTGTGACGTTAAACGAAGGCGCACATTATGTGGTCGAAAGTAACTTTCATATATCTCAAAAAATTTGTTTGTGGACGAAATAGTATTTAACTGAAGAACTTTAATCCGATAATATTACTAAAATATAATACGCGAAAAATAAAATATGAATACAGAAATTTCTGAGATAATACAATAAGGATCTATGAAATAATTTGCTCATATCTTCATATTTTCACAACCTATACACAATTTATATTTTAAAGTAATATAAGTAACAATAAAGGAATACTTATCAGGTGTGCAAGAAATATCATTTGATTCAATTTTACATTATGCTGCTGACTTCAATACATTAATTATTTTTTCATTCCTCATATGTTTTTCATGCATGAAAAAGAATTATTTTTCCACTATTACATCGAAAACTAAACGAGAGACCTAAAATTACTTTGCAGATAAAATTTAATCTCAATTCGTTGTGTAAAACATACTCTTCTGGCAGCCTCTCGATTTTTTCTGATAAGAGAGGTACTTTCATTATTGTGCAAAATGCATTGCAAACACCAAAGGCGAATCTTTTTTAAAAAAAGTCGTTTGACCTTAATCTAGTTTCTGAGTAAAAAGAACATACCAAAAAGTATATCAATATGCATTTATGATTCCACTTGTACCTGAATACATCGACTGTCATTAATGTAAATTTTCTTTAGCCGAATTGATTAACTACGGCCGGTGTAGTAATGGAAGTTAAACAACTCACGACACCACGGATTCTTGGGTGGGTAGCCGTCTGGGAATCCTGGTTACCAACAGCGTCGAGCCCCTGGCCGAAGGGATAAAACGCAATGACTGACTGGGCCGTTACGAAACGTGACGAAATTTAACGAAGGATTACTCCATATATGTACGTACGCATAATGCTAAATATGGGACTGAATGAAGGGCTGGACCCCACGATCCATTAAAAAAAAAAAAACAATCTGTTGCGCCTTTTTTCGAAACAAGGAGCCTTATCCATTGAGGCTTTGTTTCGAAAGGTTAGCTAAGGGTCATTGTTGCGAAAAAAAGCGCAACAGATTGTTTTTTAATGGATCGTGGGGTCCAGCGCTTCATTCAGTCCCATATTTGGCGCGTGGGCGCATCAACAAGCCAGCGAGTAAACACCTGTAAGTAAGCGACGCGGCCGGCGAAAGCGCCGGGCAGACGGAGGGCACGGAGGAGGTGTGTCCTCAGCCCGTGGAAATAGCGCCTCTTTTCTCTTCTCTTGTCACGCGGGGCGCGCGTGCGGGCCGGCGTGGGCACGGTGCCGGCGCCGCGCCGAGCAAAAAGACCAAAGAATTTTTATCGGTCGAAATAGAATAGTGCACCCGTTTGTAGCAACTATTGCCACGGGCCGGGTGACGATAGTGAACTCGGTTTGCGTGTTGGCCTTGCACACTGACACGTATTTGGCGACGAGTTGCTAACTTGCTCCGGCGTTTGAGTAATCGGCTGGCTGTCTAGTAATGGCAGATTCCTCTGAGTGTACGTCGTCTGCGAGGAAGATAATTGCGATAATGAGAGGGAGCTTGCAGAAGTATGAATGAGTCCACTTAGCGCTTCCTGCGGAAGGCATGTAGTGTGAATCCAAAAGGATCAATTGGAATATAGTGTTAATCTGAACACAAGGCATCGTTAAAAGACGAACGCTATGAAAATGTTATGTTGCGCCGTGTTTTTCATTCGTTAGCGAATTAGTAGTTACAAAAAAATGTTATAGTCACAGAAAACGCGTTATTATCAATATAATCGGCAGGTTTGAGTTAATTTTTGTTAAAACATACATGAACAATTATGAACGTTTAATGCAGACCAAAAACATTCTACAATTTGGTGTAAAATATAGCAAGAACTGGCGACACAATCCATACGGGGTGCTATTGTTTTTCATCACGTATTTACCTAGCTTTGACTGTAAATATTTGCTTTAATTTGTCTCTTAGTCTTTTTCTTTCTAATAGATACATAGTTGGCAAGGATCATTTCAATTTTCGAAATTTAGCGGGTCAGTTGAATTGTCGAAATATTTCTCAGATTATATTATGCTACTTATAATGTGATAATGAATTCCATTAAATGAACCAAAGTTTGAACATCACTTTAAATCAGTTAAAATTACCATGTAAGAGTGTGAAACAAACGTAAAGATCTTAAGAACCATTAAGCGTTAACTTCAAGCAAAGTTACTTCTGGTGAAAAATAAAGGAACTGGAGTAGCAATATGAGCAGACGGTAGAGACATGTCTCATACTTATTCGTAGTTTCTTGAAACGAGAACATTTATCTCTATGCATCTCACAATTTGTAATATTATCTACATTAAGTTCTTGCAGTACGAAGTTCTCTCCCTCCGAAATCAGCATACGGGGGAGGTAGAGGGAGGGAGACTCGAGTAAGTAGAGAATGGATAGCGTAAGCGACATCTGCTACGCGAAGCCCTCCATAAAGTAGGGCGGCGAGCGACCCTCAAACAATTCAGCCGCTGCATCGAGGAGAATTCTAGCGACCGACTACTCTGATCGGTTGTTTTCCGTAGTTTCACCGATCAATACCTCGAGATTGCCGATGTTAATACCCTAACAAACGGCCCACGCACCCCGCGAGGCCTTTCCTTCCTTTCCCTTGTCCTATCCTCACCCATTACTTACACACGTTTATACTGACATAGACTACAATACCACACATGACGGGAGTCCAGTCGGGAGCCCAGACCTTGTCCCGGCTGGGGCGGTCCCACCTGGGCCATGCTCCGTTGATGGGAAAGACATCGCTAGCCGATGGTAGGTCGTCATCAAGATCACCGCCACCTCCAGTGGTATAAACGTGCACAACACTTACGGGACTAACGACCTTGGCAGATGATACTCTCTGAATCACTAATCAGTCAATCTATCTATCAACAATTTTTAGTATTCTGTGCATTAGGTTTTCGCTGAACCAAGATTCCTCCTTTCGAAGTACGCGCACGTGAGGGGTCGTCGAGTAAGTGCGGGATGGGGAGCGCAATGGGGGGAAGCGGCGGCGGGGCGGAGGTAAGATTGGGGCAGAGGATGGCGAGGGCGCGCGGAGGGCCGCTCAGGGGCAGACTCGGAGCGGCAGCGGCAGCCGGCAGGCGGGAGCGGGTGCGTCCGGCGGGGCCGGGGGCTGCCTGGGGCGCGCGGGGCGGGCGGCGCGGCGGCCGGGGCGCCTGGGGCGATGCAGGCGACGACCCATCAAGACCAGCTGGAGGGGCCCGGCGCAGCTAGAACGACCCTCTTCACCTCAAGAGACGGGTGGGACTTCATGAGGGTGGCTCTAATCGATTTGGCAT